GGGGGGGGGGGGGTGAGGGGGCCATCCTGCCCATTCCCACCAACTGGGCTTGCAACTGATTCAGTAGTACAGCCCGTTGCCGGCACTCCCACCAGCTGGCGGCCAGCCTATGCGCCCAACCTCCGGGCCCCCACGGCTGCCATGCACATGCACACTCAGGCGCGCAACTGAGGTCATGCACCCGCTTTCTTTTGCCCCTGCCACCCGCAGATCCACTACAACGGCCGTCAGGCCTTCCTGGGGCGCCTGAGCCGCCACACGGCGGCGGTGGCCGCAGACCTGGTGCTGACCTGGCAGCGCTGCTGCCTGACGGAGAAGGTGGCGCAGAAGGTACGGGGGTGGACCCCCGCTGGGGACCAGCTTCTGGGAGAGGCGCTGGCGGTACCGCTGACCTTGGGAGAAGCTTTGAGAGGGGCCGCTGCGGGCAGGGCTGCGCTCCAGCCGGCAGTGCAGTGCAGCGTTGTGCCCAGCTGGACCCAGCTGGGCTGTGCGCGCCTATGCTGCCAGGCCGGCCAGCAGGCATGCGTGTGGCAAGTCCCTGGGGCGCTTTGAGCTGTGCACCGCTGTGCTGAGCGAGGCGCCTGCCCCGCTGCCCGGCTGCAGGCCGCCGCCCGCCAGCTCAACCTGCCTGAGGCGGGGTACGAGCAGGATGAGGCGCTGATGAGGCAGCTGAGGTGTGGGCCTGGGCTGGACGCGTGCCATCATGGGAGCACATGGCTGTTGAGCGCGGCAGGGGAGCTCTCAGCAGGAGGCTCCCACCATGTGTGTGTGTGTGCGTGTGCCAATCTGCTGCCCACCCGGTGCGTCTGTCCTGCTGCTGCCCTGCAGGGCGGTATCCACTGCAGAGCAGATGAAGCAGCTCATGCAGGCCATCCTGCCTCAGGACCAACCGCAGGCGCCCGCTCAGCGCCCGCAGCGCCGGGCGCGGCGGCAGCCCGCGCAGCCGCAGCCGCAGCCGCACCCCGGCCAGCAGAAGCCGTCGCCGCCGGCGCTGGCGCCGCCCCAGCGGCAGGAGCCTGCCGACGCGGCTGCCACGCCACCGCGCGGCGACAGCAGGCGCAAGCAGCGGGCACCGGAGCGCTCCCGCGCGCCCTCAGATGCATTCAACCTGGCGCCGGCCAGGATGGTGGCGGCACCACCCGTGGCTGCACCTGCCAGGCCAGCTGCAGAGGCAGAGGGGCATGATGAGGCAGATGCCCTGCACCAGCCCACGGCCAAGCGCCCTAAAACCCGCATGCCCGACGCGGCCGCGGCGCCGCCCGCCGCAGACAGACCACCTGCCGAGTGAGCAGCTTTGGCACAAGCCACCAGCTCTCCATTTCCCTGAACAGCCGAACAGTCGCTGGCCAAGTTTTGCGCGACATCAAACGCATCCTGCATCCTGAATGCATGCCGACCCAATACATCCTGCCCCCATGATCCCTCCACCCTGCCCCCACCCAAACAAACATGATCCCTCCTTCCATCCTAGTGCGACGGCATGCGCCCCCATGATACCCAACCATCTCATCCTTCTGCTCTCTGCTCTCAGCTGTTGTTTTGTTCTCCAGGAACTCGTGATTACTTCTGTGTGCATGATAAATGGCTAGCGCTCAGAGACAAGAGCAGAAACAGGAAGGGGAAAAAATTGAGGAACGGGAATGCAGGCAGGCAGGGCAAATCTACAGCCAGGTGCATCGAAAGAAAAAAGGAGCTGCTTTGCCAAGACGGGCCCAAGCAGGCACAGTCTGGTCGTAGGCTCAGTCGATCTTAAAGATCTGCAGGGCAAGCAGGGCTCACGCATTCAGGCCAATCGGGCCAGCCACAGCCAGACCTTCTGCTCGCCCTTCCCTGCCCAAACAGCTGCCTGTCCCGCCCAGCGTACACATGCTGCCTGGCGCAGCCGCCCTTTCGGCTGCGCCCGTGCCCCGCCCCGCCCCACCTTCTTCAGCTTGATGACCAGGCGCCAGTCATCCTTGGACAGCTCGTCCCTGAACATGTCCTTCAGCACGTTGATGGACTTGCGCCTGCGGGGCAGCACGTGCGCGCGCATTTGAGTGCACGGGGAGCGGGGCAGCGTGAGTGAATGGCGGGCGTGGTGAAGGAAGACAAGACTGCCACAGTCAATGGAATCGTCAGCACAGCAGCTCGCCCCTACCCCCCCAAACCCATGCCTGGCCGGAGGACCCATTGCTGATGCCGCACGCTGGCAAAACGGCAGGCAGCAGAGACGCTGCTGCTGCGCCAGCGCAGCGAATGGCAGGCCGCAGCCGTGCAGCCCCGCTCACGTGATCCTGCTGACCAGCTCGTCGGTGTGGTCAAAGTGGCGCTCATACGACCGAGACGCCTCCTCAGGCTTGGTGGACTGCACGGGGAGTGTGGCCAGGGCGGGGTGGTGGTTGTTGGCACCGGCAGCGGTGTGTGCCAGGCGGGCTCGCAAGCGACTCGGTGCCTTTTCCTCGCTGGCTGTGCGCTGCACACCTCCAGCCCAAGGCAGCCTCACTGTCCTCCCTGCTTACCCTCCCTTCCCTTCTCTAC